GAAAAAGCGCACCACGACAAAATTCACTCTGCCAGAAACGGCATGCAATATTGCATGGTATTCGCACCGGATGCTCCAATACAAACAATTCAGAACGGACAGTGCACAGGGTTCGGAAAGAGTTGGATGAGTCTAATGGTGATTACGAAAGTGTTTGGTGTTATCACTAGCGATGGCGAAGTTATGCCTCCATTCATCTTCCCACAGTACCGCAGACTCAACATGAAGTCCTATGTCAAGTGCCTTGAAGAGGTAGGCCTGCCCTTTATCTGAGAACAGAACGTTGCACCATACCACACAAACAGGAAAACCCAGTCATGGCTGCCAGACGATTTCTGAGACGACATCACCCCTTACATCTGGCTACCTAATTCTACAGAGTGCAACCCCCTTGATTATTATGTGTGGATCTCAGCTATGCGAGAGACCAACAAAACACCTTGTAACGCCAACGATGAACTGAATGCAAGGATAATGGAAGCATTAAGCAACTTAAACAAGGAGACCGCCCAGAAGAATTGCAGGAGATTCCGAAGTCGTCTGGAAACCCGTGGTGCAAGCCTATGGCGATTCATTGATTAAATTAACTCTTTAGAATTTTTAAGATAATGTTGGTAAATATATCTGTTAAAATCAGATGTCTGTGTTTTCCTTTTTTTCTCTGTGTGTGTGTGTGTGTGTGTTTAATTTAAACGACAATTTATCCATCGCACCCTGTATATCCTCATATATCCTTATAAATATCGGCATTAACTAAAACCCTAGAATCTAAGCTTGACGGAGCCTCAGATGCTGAGAGCTATAGTTAACATATCTTGGAGACAAACCTATCCGTCTCTGATATGTCTACAATCTGATGTGAATGCGCTTTGCAGGATACTGCTGATGAGAAAAACTTGAGAGTGTTCTACTGCTCTGGACATCTAGCCATGGAAATCTACCCATAGACACCTAGCCATGGAGCATGACAGGGTGGTTGCCGCAGAACCACCTACATTGACGAGTTATTTTAGGACACGAAATGCCACCCTAATTACCTTCAGACAATGATGCAGGACCGTGATGGTTGGCATGGTAGACTCATGAATATTCCAGCTACCTCGATTGAATACTACTACTACTGATAATAATAATAATAATAATAATAATAATAATAATAATAATAATGCTAAGCATATGGTTGTATATTTTGCAATGTTTACTTTTGGAAACTTGGTAGTATGAAGAAACACAAAAAAACCTTAGAATCAAAGAAAAGAGTACTATCTGTCCTCCTATATAGCAATGAAAGCTGGAAAATCTCCTCAAAAATGAACTTGAATGATGCTTAGGATACCACGAACTGAACATGTGAGCAATGAAGAAATTTTAAAGAAAATGGAAACTTATACTTAACATCAGAAAGAGACAGTTGAAATTTCTAGGGTAAACAACGAGGAAAGGGTGCTTGGAAAATCAGATACTCACAAGACAGATTGAAGGCAAGAGGGACAGTAAAAGAACACAAAAAGTTCTTAGTGAACCTGAGTAAGTAGATGGCGGAACAAGGAAAAATTTATTAAGAGCTATGAATGACAGGAAATTGTGGAGAGCTATGATCGTCTATGTCCTGAAGGGAGAGAGCACATAAAGAAGAATAAATTCGGAAATACGTAAATATTTCTAGGTTAAATGTGGGTCTATAAGTATTTACTTCAGTTGTGGAGATTTACATATTTCATATTTATATTTGAATCCATATTTATTTTCTTTGGCTCGGGGATAAGTAAATATATACCGTTTATAGTTTGTTTGTTTTATCGACGTCTCTTTCTCGGTCTGTAAGCATTTACTATTTTTTTAATCATTTTACTTAGAATCGTGCTGTGATTTGCTACCTAACAGAAAACGAAAAGCGTTTAAGATGGCGTCATATTCTTATATATTATGCCTTTAAATTCCTTGAAGAACATAGGGCCGCAAGTTATCTTTGTGATTTCTACAACAAGCCAGTCTTTTTGTCTTTTTGACTGTCCTGCTATTTACTCATACCTGGAGGGAGAGAAAAAGAGGATTCATACATTTCCCAACGGTATTATCATGTAAGTGAATATAATGGATTCGACTGGAATTCGAACTCGGCTCTCCGATTCCTTAGTCCGAGCCGCTATGAATTGCTCCTCATATTCTTAGGTCTTTCGTTGTTGGCATTCGTCTGTATTTTACAGCACATTATTTTTCCGCACATTTTCTTTAGTATAAGTTCTTGGTCTGAACCGTGGTCTTTGGCGGAACCCATTGCCAAATACGACATTTCTTTCTTTGTGAAATGAGTCCTATGTTGGATCTGAAGATACGCCCGCAGCCATCACATAGTAGGGTAAGACTATTCAGCGGATGGAGAACTCTGGATTTTCTTTTATCTCTTTTCCTCTCTTCTATTTATCTTCTGGTCTTTTTTTTTTTTTTTTGCGAACTGCTCTTCTGCAGTTGGATCTTTCTGCAGCTTCCGTCTCCCAAATAACTGTATCGATTTCAAATCCCAGCAAGGTCTTTTGATCTGATCCTTGAATTGACGACGTGGGGCTCCACGTCGTCTCTCGTCAGATGCGAGAAGAGGATTTGTTTCGTTAGGCTGATGTCTGGCATTCGGGCGAGGTGTCCGGCCCATAGAAGTTGATGTCGAGTTATGATGGTTTCTAGGCTCTCCATCTTCGTTCATTGTGATCCGCTCCTGCCACAGGGTTTGATGAAGTTTTATTTGATGGAAACTTTCAAGTTTGTAGATGTCTATTCGTAGAATACCCAGGTCACATAAGCGTACAGAAGAGTCAAGATTACAATAGCTCGGTAGGACAAGTTCTATTCTTGTCGACGTGAGTAGTTTCATTAATACGGGTTTCAGATATATATATATATATATATATATATATATATATATATATATATATATATATATGGTGAGGCGAAAATCGCGCACTATAAGGATAACTTATTAAAAGTATAATTACAGATGAAAATTTTATTTACTAGTTATTTAATTGTTACATGTGCTGTCCAAAATGTCCTCCTCCTTTTTCAAAATACATTTCAATTCTTTCTTTAATATCTTCAATGTTTCTTTGGCACGTCTGATAAACAACTGATTTCAAATGGCCTCACAAAATAAACAAATATCAAAACATATTAGATATTTAAAACGCAATTAATTAATTAAACACTATGGTGGGCGACTTTTGCCTAACCTAGTATATATGTGTTTATACACACACACACACACACACACCATGAGTTTGATGGTTTGTGTTAACCCAGGATTGCCGAAGACTCTTTTAAATAGCTTCCCCTATGCTACATGGGCGGTCTTGATTCGGTTATCGGCATCTCTTTTTCGGTTTAAAACGATGAGGATTTATTTCACTGTTAATTTCTTTGAAAGAGATATCAAATCAAACACCTGTACACAAAATAACGTTTATAGCTATAAGAATTAATGTCAGATTAAAAATAATAATCAATTTAAAAAAAAAATATCACAATCACGAGTCCCGTAACCCATTTGGGAAGAAGAAGCACAACATCTACTGCAGTTGTTGGAGCAATGACATTTCCTGGGCAAGTTAGCCTGACGTGGTCTGACCCTCTTGTCTGGTCCGAGTTCAGAGTTTTCCTTCTCCTTGACTACTCGCCAACCAACGCTATATGACCCAGTCTACCTCGCTATTTACCCAGAGCTGGCGAGGAAGATGATATGGATTCACACAATTCTCTAGGGTATTAAGTAAAGTACGTAAGTTAATATAATGAACTCGACTGAAATTCGACGCTATTATCCCACAACGTACACCCAATTTGAAAAGTAACTCCTCATTTTAAAATACTTATAATTTATTTATTAACTATAATTTTTACAAGAAATGCATATGAGAAGAAAGCATTTAGCATGAGGTTTTATTTAAAATTCGATATGGGCACCAGATTTCGCTATCAGCTTTTCGAGCCGCCCAGGAATCGTATCAACTGATTTCATCAGGAACTCTTATGATATGTAACACATAACTTCTTGTATTTGCTTTTCAAGTTCTTTCAAAGTCTTAGACCGGTACAGTAGACTTGCTCCCATACCGGTACAGTAGCTATAAACAAGCATAATAATATATAATAACTTTCATAATCCATAGCCCAAATAAATAGTTTAAATACCCTACAAAAAAAATAACCCTTAATGAAGTCGTCAAAAAACAAACGTTTTTTTTTATATGCACATATCCCTTTCATAAAAAAAATAAAATAAAAGAATAAATAAACCTCCATAGACACGCATACCAGACTAGGGTTAATACATCTTCCGTTTCAAATTTAGACACCCCCACCTTTCCCTCACTTGACATCCATGAAAGTAAATCTATATTGATACTTATTATTAACACCCAACTCACGCCTTCCCAATTTAAACAATTCGCCCTAGCTGTTACCATGGAAATTTTGATTTTAATTATTAAAACACGTAAAGTTCAGAAATACGTTATTAAAAAAAAAAAAAAAATTCGCTTGAAGATGGAACAGAGCTTACATTTAACTCAATTTAATTCAAATAATTATATTGAAGTTTTCGGCTCTTGTTTTGAAACATGAGACCTCTTATGTCGCGAGTTGGAATCATATTTTTAAATAAATAATTATATATATATATATATATATATATATATATATATATATATATATATATATGTTGCAATTTAGAAAATGATGACCTAAATCGATTGATAACATCTGTCGTAACTAAAGTGTGTTATAAATTTAATATGTATGTGTTTATATGCGATTATCGCATCACACGCACAGAGAAGGTTACGCGCGCGCACACACACTCACATATGGGTAGAGAGATAATAAATAGAAAGTTAAAGACACTATTTAATCGTTCGATATCGGTTTGATAGGTAGACTGACCTGCTTTTCCATGAGCATGTCAATAATTGCATACAACAACGTATGCATGATATGCCCGATGCACATTCCTATAATGAAAGTAGAGATGCAGTTCCTGTGCAGAATGGGAAGTAGATTGCAACAAAGCCCATAAAAAATAAGAAAGAGAAAAGGAAAGAGAGAAAGGAAAGGTGAGAGAAAGTGAGAGGGAAAAGGGGGGAGAGGAATAAAGGGGGAGAGAAAAAGAGAGAAATAAAGAGAGAGGGTAAAAGGAAGAGAGGGAGGAAGAAAGAGAAATACAGAGAGGGAGAGAGAGAAAGGGCGAAGAATATAGAGAGAGAGCGGGAGAAAGAGTTAGAGAGAAAGGGAGAGAGAGAAAAGCAGATAGATAAGAAGGGATAGAGAAAGAGAAGGGAATAAAAAGGGTAAGAGAGAAAGGGAGAGATGGAAGGGAAATATATTTTAGCTAGTAAGGGCATCCATAGTAGTGTCTGTCGAATGTAGAAAGCAGTGGTGCGTGGCGATTGGCTGAAATTGTAAAGGGGTGAGTGGTAGGAAGCAGCAGTTAAAATTGAGTGGTGGGAGAGACACTCGAACCATCAAAGTGTGAGGCTGGTAGTGGTGGTCGGTTTGAAATCGATAAAGGTTCTGATGGCAAGTCGCTGCTGACAATGGCATGTTGGGGTCTATCAATAACCAGACTCAGCCTGGGAAACCTGGGCAATATATCCGTCGAGTCTATGACTGGTTAGTGTGAGTGAATGGGCATTTTAGAGAATGACAGAGTAAAAGTTCAATGAAAAAAGACACACATGTTAATAAGCAAAGAAGAAAAGTGTGTGTGTGTGTGTGTGTGTGAGAGAGAGAGTGTTATGGGACCTTACCCATAATAACATAATGAACTATTCCATACGTAATAAATACTGCGCCTCAAGAGGAAGCAGGGAGTTCAGTCTGAAGTCGGACGACCGGCTGACCGGCTGAACGGGCGGGGAGAAACCCGAACGAGGCTATGCCGAAGGGCAGAGTCTCTTTCGAGGAGGTAAACCGACCCTGAACCCGTTTATACGGGTCCAAAGCCCATGGGTTCGTAAATCCCACGTTAAACCGGCCTTGTGCCACATGATGCCCTCGTGGGGGGGTGACTAAATACTGTTCAGTCTGAAGTTGGTTGACCGGCTGATCGGTTGAACTTTCTGCCTTCGGGCGGGGAGGAACCCGAACGAGGCTACGCCGAAGGGCGGAGTCTTTTTCGGGGAGGTAAACCGACCCTGAACCCGTTTATACGGGTTCAAAGGGCATATTTTTGGCCGAGCCCACAGGCTCGGAGATCCCACGTTAAACCGGCCATAAGTAAATGATGCCCTTCGTGACTAAATACTGTTCAGTCTGAAGTCTGGAGTGAAGTCCGTCAGAAGTCTGTCAGTCAGAGCGAGCGAGTCAGTCAGTCGAGTCAGAGGCAGTCCGAAACCGAGTCGTGTTCAGACAATTACTACAAGACATTCGAATAGTGATACTGGTCGAGACTACATTGTTCTCCCTACTAAACCTGGTTGTTCGTACTAACACTTTCTACTTCTCTGTATATATTCCTGTTTGTAATATATCTGAGTTATTCCATATACGTGTTGAGTTCTTCTTTGTTGGTTCTACCTTGGACCATCACCGTGGTACAAGGAACCGGACCATAACACACACACACACACACACACACACACACACACACACACACACACACACACACACACAGAGAGAGAGAGAGGGGAAAATGAGAGAAAAGTGAAAGAAAATGAAAAAAGAGGAAGTGTTAGCAATCGAATAAGACAAGTGAGAGACAGACAGAGAGTGATCGACAAAGAGAGAGAAAGAGAATAAGAAGGCGAAGGTGAAGATTAAGAAGAGAAATATAGAAATAAAATGAGAACACAGGATGTGCCTGTAATCTAAAGAGACAAGAAAGAGAAAAAGAGAGCAAGACAAAGAGCAAGAGAGAGAAACGGAGGGAAAATATAAGGAAAATGCTAATAACTGAAGTCTTACTAATCGAAAAAAGTGAGATTAAACAATAGAGAAATTGAGCGGGAGAGAGAGAGAGAGAAAGGGAAAGGAGAGAAAGAAAGAAAGAAAATTAAAACCAAAGTGTTAGTAATCAAAGTAGCCAAGTGAGAGATAGAGAGAATGGAGGAGAAAGAGTCAGAGAGAAAAAGGATTGAAAAAAAGAAAGAAAATGAGAGCAAGATATATATATATATATATATATATATATATATATATATATAGAGAGAGAGAGAGTGAAAGTGGAAGAAAGAGAGAAGAAAAAGAGAAAAATGAGAACAAGAGAGATGTTAGTAATCAAGGACTTGAAGAAAGATAAGAAAAAAAAAGAAAAAAAAAAGAATAGATTAAGAGAAAAACAACAAAAAAAAAAGTGTCAAGGAAGTGTTATTAGGCTCCAGAGGCGGATATGCAATGTAGTTGGCCCTGCTCTGGCGTCTCGTCTACAGTCGTCTACAGTCACTTTCTGTCTGTTCTACAAATACTTCCATGGAAATTGCTCCGAGGAGCTTCATTCGCTGGTTCCCAGACGTCATGAGTTCCAGCGCCCTACGAGGCTGGCATGCCGCTCTCACCCCTTCACTGTCGAAACTCCTAAATGTAGCCGTCTCTTCTACTCTAATAGCTTCATGTCTCGCACCTCTCGCCTGTGGAACTCTCTTTCCTATTCCTGTTTCCTTGTGAGCTATAATCTCCAGCTATTCAAGTGTAATGTCAATCGACGTCTCCAGTTGTCTTGATCTATCCACTAGCCTCATCCTTTCTTCTATCACTCTTATCTGATCTTGCTCTAATTTTTTTTGTAACCCCTTGCGTCCTAGTGGCTTCCCGCCTTGCTTGGGGTGAAATGCTTAAAAAAAAAAATAAAAAAATAAGAGAAAGAGATTGTTTGAAAGAGATATAGAGAAAGGGAGAGAGAGAGAGAGAGAGAGAGTGAAAGAAAAGGAAAGAAAAAGATAACGGAAACGAGAACAAAGGAAATGTTAATAAGAGAAAAATAACGCCGTGAGGAAGAAAAAGAAAAAAAAGAAAGAAAGACAGAGGACAAGAAAGGAAGACAGGTAGAGAGAAGGAAAGAATGAAAAAGAAAGAGAGAAAGAAAAGGAAATCAAGAAAAATGTTAGTAATCAAAGACAATAAATAATGAAGATAAGAAAGAAAAAAAGGAAGAAAGTAAAAGATGGAAGGGAGTAGAAAAAAAACAAACAAAGTAACTCATACTTAACATCATGAAGAGGCAGCTGAAATTTCTGGGACATGTAATGAGAAGGGAGAGCTTGGAATATCCGATACTCACAGGACGGATAGAGAGAAAGCAGGACAGTGGAAAGCACCGCGTGACACAGTAGGCTTGAACAAATGTATGGCGGAACAGGGTCTAGGAGAAATGACAAAAACGTATTAAGAGCTACAAGTGACAGGAGGAGGTGGTGGGGGCTTGATCGCCTGCGTCCTGAGAAGACACGGCACATAAAAGAAGACGTGGTAGCATTTACAGAAGGAAAAAGAGAGAGGGTGGGGAGACAAAAAAAAAAGAGAGAAAGAACCTAAGAACAAGGGAAGTGCTGGTAATCTTAGAAAACGAAAGTAAGAGACACAGAAGAAGCGGAGACTTGAAGCAACAGCGATGTATGCCTTCATCAAGAGGTACAAGGGGTTAAGAATTGTGGAGCGCCATGATCATCTACGAGTTGAAAGGTCACAAAAGATTGTAGAAGAAGAGCCCCTGTTTATTTGAGCGTAATGAGTACGTATGTAAATTTACAGTTAAAAAAAAACGATTAACATATATTAAAATATTTAAATCAAATAAAATAACTAAAGGAAATAAACAAAATAAAAATGTTAACGTAAAAAGGGAAAAACACCGAAGACACAGAAGCAACGATCATTCTCCATCACTTTCTCTCTCTCTCATCTGTATCCAGGTAAGGATGGTAGGTTGTCCTTTCTATCTATCTATCTATCTATCTATCTATCTATCTATCTATCTATCTATAAGAGAATAAGAAAAACATAAGAAACGTTTATAAATTTATCATGTTTTACTTTTATTTAAGAATGTCTGGCAGTCAGTTAAGTGCCATACGTGATACACACTTGGGCGATCATGAATATTTCGATACATGACTGACGAGGAAGAATTTTCCATGCATTACGTTGCTATTTTTTCTGCGGTAGACTGGTTGCTAACCAAGGCTAATGAACGCAGTCTGTCCTGCTAATCAACCCATTGCTGGGGAAAGAGGAGATGGATTCATACCTTTCCCAAGGATATTTGTGCGCAAGTGAATCTAACGGATGACGAATGCTTATATAAAAGTGAAACCTATTAGATTTATAAACGTTTCCTATATGTTCTTTATTCCATCATTCTGTCGGTTTTAATCCCTAGTTGATCCTAATTCTATATATATATATATATATATATATATATATATATATATATATATATATATATATATATATATATAAATAAATCGATTCTCACGTCGGGTTCGACGTATGAGGTCAAGCAGATCAGTTTCCCGGAAACTGACAGCCCGACAGCTGCACATGAGATTCGATTATAGCGGTGAAGGTTTCGTGCAGGACCATCCACACTTTTTGAAGGGCCGAATACAGAGACCTGGTGCACTGCGTGCCACAAGGTCCCCGAACGGCCCTCCGCAGGTTTTGAATTCAGAGTTGTCCTTCTCCTAGACCATTTGCCATCCAAGCTTATAGAACCCAGTCTGTCCTGCTATTTAACCCATAGCTGGAGGGAGAAGAATAGTATTCACACCTTTCCCAAGGGTATTAGCACGTAAGTGAATGTAATGGATTCAACCTGGACTCTGCGATTCCACAATCCAAGCCGATATCCATTACCCCACCGTGCCTATATATATATATATATATATAGATAACATTTCTTCAATTTAGACTATCTATCTATCTATCTATCTATCTATCTATCTAGTTTGTTCATATTTATCAATCTATTTGGACTATTCATATCTGTCAATCCATCTATATGAGTGTATATGGACCTTGGATGTGAATGTGTGCGTGGGGGCTTAATACACAAAGAGAAGAAGAAGAAGAAGAAGAAGAAGAAGAAGACAATGCGAGAATTAAAGCATAAAGTTTCCTGCGATTCTGAATACCCCTCCTTTCCAGACTTCAGATCTTCTGGCAAAACATCGCATGAACCACGAATCTCAGCTCTCTTCTCACACACATCCCATATTTGACCCTCTGCGACGTCTGACATATTTCTAAATTGACCAGGTCAAAATTTCAAACCATGTCCGGGATTAAGGATTATTAAAGAACAGATAGATACAGGGTGCGATGGATAAATAGCCGTCTGAATTACGCAAAAATTAAAATAACACTGACTCATTTTAACAGATATATTTACCAAAATTACACAAAAAGATCTCGAAATAAGTAAGAGTAGATTTGATCAAGAAAATCACCATTGGCTTCCACCATGGCCCACAGACGACTTCGATAACTCCTGTAAGCCTTCTGGATGATCTCCTTGTTTAAGTTACATTATTTACATTATTCGGACTATTGTCCTAATCTTTGTCGCCATATTTATCACAACGTTTCGGCCGTTTTACGCTCCGGCCTTCTTCAGGTGGTTGGAATGTCGAACTGAACCCTTTATTTCGCTCACTGGGGTAGACTGTTCTAGTTCCACGTGCCATGTTTGATGGATGTCAGTTATCAGTTATCTCCTGCTAATTTCCCTCTGAATGTTCTCCACTGCCTTAACTGGGTATTGAACTCACACTCTTTGGGTCCTGTCACTGGATCTAACAAACGTCTTTATCCACTGTGCCATGTGTCCTTGGGAAGATAATTGATAACTGACAGTCAGTTATCAGTTATATCCTGTTAATTCTCCTCTCCAAGTTCTCCACTGCCTTAACTGGGTCCTGTCACTGGTACCAACGCCTTTATTCACTGTGCATGTGTCCTTGAGGACATCTCTGTATGAATTTCTGGATATTATAAAAATGAATAATTTTTATCAGTACTCATATTGCATTTTTTTGCTGTTATCATTGCATGTTTCTTTAACAGAGCTCATATTGCATTTTTTGTTGTTATTATCGCTTTTCTCTGGCACTGGTTCCCATATTGTATTCATTTCTATGTTTGATCGGCTCAGAAGATTTTTCTTTGGCCTAGCATATGTGTTGATTCCTTAAGTTTACGAATTTTCCAATGGTGTTCTTTGTCTATGGTCTCAACCTGATCCCAAAGAGGGTGGTGATCTTCCTTCTCTCTCCATATGTGGTCAGCCACGCCTGATTTGTCCACTTCCCCTCGTGTTACAGCTTTTCGGTGTTCTTGAAGACTTACCTTGAGGGGGCGGACTGTATCTCCTTTATAATTCTCTCCTACCATTAAAATTATATCATTTAATAATGGAAATGATTTGTTGAAAGTTTTTTTTTAAAATAAATGTAGAAAGATGCTTACGCAAATTCCAGTTGCGTGCGGCACGTGAGCGGGTGGAATGGACAAAACAAACAAAATTTAAAACGTAACAGTCCAAATATGAAGAAAAAAATAACATAGCAGAGAATAAAAGAGCCTTGAAAATGGCTATTGAATTGGCCGAAATCATTTGGGAAAATAATTTTTTTTATATTCCTTAATCCCCTACGAATCGGATTAAAAATGATGCTGGAAAACTTAATGAAACAATTAATTCAATCATTACTATCGACCTATTCAATGAAAGAAAAGATGCTGCCAAAATATACATGAATATATATATATATATATATATATATATATATATATATATAATTATTTATTTAAAAAAATTATAACATAAATATGCTATAAATTCACTACAAAAATAGCCATTTTGTTTCAACACCTCCGGTGTCTTATCAAGTGATGATGTTGAATGTAAAGTAAATGGTTTTAAAAGTTTCAAATTAATTTCGCAAGGGGAAAACGTTGTTACAAAAGCTAGAATGAGAAATCAAAATACAAGTATAGGAAAATTCAAAAAGCTTGATGACGAAGTCCTGTTATAATAGCTATTCAAATCTTTAAAATAGGGGTAATATTAAAAAAGAATTTATTCTAACCAATAATTATTAAATTATATGATAAAATTTGATATTAAAATTAAAAGTAAAAATTCCCAATTTTAAAATTCAAATTTAAACACTATGAAGTTTAAAATTATAAAATTACTGAGGAGAAAAGAAGAAACACATATGTTATTTAATTTATTTCTTCATTGAAATTACGTTAAAATAGACACTGATATGTCATCCGGTCCTCTGACAATATATATTCATTGTGTGAAACCAGTTCTTAATTTCTGTTAGGAACAACACATTGTCCAGTATTAATTCTTTATGTTTTGGATTCTTTGGTCAGAGGATCGATGTCACAGCCAATGTATGCAACGAAAATCTCTGGCTGTACTAGACATTCATGAAGGACAATTCACGTCCGAAGGAATATTCCAATTTAGCAGGCTACTGGGGCGAAAATAGGTAACCAATGCAGAGTTTCTGTGTCTTGTTTCGGGGTTAGGGATGACTTGTTCAGGCTGTCTGGATGTGATGCTTAAGCAAGGAATGTGGACTTGGAAAAGAGGCTGGGATTGTGGGGGGTGTTTTTAAATGGCCCAGTGAAAGACGTTTATTTGATCTGATGGACGGAATTATAGGAGAAAGACATGCACTGAATGAGGGAGTGAACGAATGTCGGCTTATTCACCCTCTCTCTATATCTGTACTTTTGATATTGCACTGTGTGTGTGTGTGTGTGGCTGCGTGTCTGAGAGATGTGCGTTGGATATTTCTGTGCGTACGACAGTGTGAAATATAACGTGAAAGTATGAATGATTATCGGCACGGAATGCGAGATCTCCACACTGAACCTACATTTATTCTAATTTTCATAAATGACCTTATTGATGTAATCAGTTCTCAACTTGATATATATGCTGATGACACAGCTATTTATTTCTATTTTAATAGTAAGTCCGATCGGCTCGACAAGGTCATATTGGCAACTGATTTAAAAAATGACCTACAATAGGGCAAGAAGTGTGATATATAGAAATAAAGTGTCGCTGCCGACACTTGAGTTTGAACATAGATCGCTCGTGAGCAGGCACGGTCGATACCATTTCTAATAGGTAGATCACGTAAGCATAGAGGAAACGCATAAGTAGGAATTAGTGTGGCGTACAATTGATCGCACTTTCTATTCTATCCTCTATTAATTTACGGATCGTTATTCTCTATACTATTTCTCCATACTGACCACTACACAGCTTACTATTCTGTGGTTACTTTTCGAGCGAGTATTATAGAGCAGTACTATAAGTGCGAGTGTTATTCGAAGGTGTATGACACCAGTATTGTTTAACAGCGTTACTATAGTTGTATCTGCGATTACAAAGTCTCTACTACAATGAGCATTACGGAAGTTACAACAAGAATTCGTTGACATCAAAAAAGAGTGGCTTGTTAATTTTAACGCTTTAAAAACGAAACAGCTTTCTTTTAAATATCGGAGAGAACCTATTTTAGCTTTCATCAGTATGGCTGATGCTAACCTCCAGTAGAGTCACTCTATGCGTCTCCTCGGATTACCGTTTTCAG